ACTGGAAATAGAATGTCTCTGGCAAATGTGTATCGATTTCCCTAAATGGGAATGAATTGTCGGTGGCGCAAAATCCCGTTGGTGTTCCAAGAAAAGTGTCAGGACATAAGTAGGCCAAAAAAATTTAACACGGATGGAGAGCAGGATATAAAAAGTTTTGAGATTGAAGAAATAACTTTAATTCGTGTGTGCTACATTAAATCAAAGTCCGTGAGGTTTTATATCAAATCGTTCTCGTTGATAACACTACGAAGCGAAAATTCGCAACAGTTCAAGTCGGTAGTAACGGTGACGCATTCTTATAGAGGTTCTGTGATTGAGGACTAGGTATAAAAACTTCCATCCGAGCTGCACGGAAGCACACCAATACCAGTATTTTACTTGGAGGAAGTGAAGCAATGGACAAATCACGATTCAACTCAATAAACTTAAGGAAGAAAGGCCGAAAAAGGCTACTCAGTGCCTTGCTATCAGGCTTCGTTGCGAACCGAAGGGGCTTAGATTTGCAGAGGACCGCCATATAGAAGAACACTTCGCTTTGACCAGGACACACTCAACCAATGACTCATTGCACATTCCGAACAGCTCTGGCAATTTCCGAGCAAAATACAAGATACGTTCGGCCAAACGAATCCCAGGACCAGCTCTTGAGCTTCGAGATCTCGACCTCGGCTGCCACCTTAGTAGCTTCAAACATCGACCTTACCGCAGCAGTTGAGTCCGGAGTGTCGTTTGGGCGAAACTAAATTACACAAAAATAGTGTAGAAATATCCATTGAAGGATAGATACATATTCATCAAAGATGAAAGATGTGAAATCGTTCCAAAATCTAAATCATCTGTAGCAACTTCTTGCCTTTGACGCGGCCTCAATAAAGCAAGGCATGCAGGCAACGTATCAGTTGATTCAGATTGGTTAGAATTAAAACGATATAAGAAATACGAGATCATTTAAATAAATAGTTTAATAGTGGTCGAGAATTTGGAAACAATAGCTCCCTCATCACGTGATACAATAATATCCAAATTATCATTGCCTCAAGGAGCACTTATCCCAGTTCAACGAATATCTTTTGTCGTTGAATGGCAAACTCAGTGAATAGCATTTAACGAGCTTTCCATAGATCGCCTTCCACACTATGTTCATAATTTGAGCAAATGCGCACTGAAGCATTTGTCTGAAGTCCAAATAAAAGATTCAATTTGAAGTGAATCAGACCAATAGAGGTCCCAAGAGCCCTCGACTAAACCAAAGACCTTTGCAAGAACCAATTCAATGGATTCGGGGTGAAAATTTCATTAATTACAACAAACAATGGGCATTCTGGGGGCAAAATAATCCCTGCTCCATGTCGATTGCAATCAGAATGAGCAAGAAAATCGTGAAAATAGTTTCTATTCAGCAGTTGCCGGTTCTCGATTGGAACAGGCTAAATAATTACCGCAATTGACTGGCCAGTTAATGAATGCCACTTTCTTTTTTAATATAATGCGACGGAAAGGCGTAACTGCCCTACTATCGAAACTGATAAATAATAAAGACACTGCTTTCGAGTTCAGCATGCATGCAACTGTAAAAAAACCGCAGGGGCATTTGAGTGGATCAAGTAGCAAGCGAATTAAAAATCACATAATAATCTATCGCATGCAGAATTAGTCAACAGTCAATTTGAAATCCATAATTTTTAGCAAGAATTCTTGAAAACGCACTAACCAAACGGATTTTAGGTCACATAAATAATATGGATTTTAGGTTACAGAAATATCATACATAACGGATTTTAAACAAATCTCTGCCCTCAATAACGAATTCTACGGAGTATAACCCAGTTTTTTTTAGCGTTTAACACGCAGGACAATTTCAGAAGATATATTAGGTGATATATACAAAAAAATAAGTATACATTATAACTCAATACATGTTTCCAAATTGTAACTAAATATCATTGAAAATGCAAATCATACCCAAAGAAATTAAATAAATCAATCATTTTAAAATAAAATTTAGCAATAAATTAATGAAATCACACTTTCGACCACACACTATCTAGAATCTGGATGACTTCGATAGTAGGCCCCTAAAATTTTTTATTGTAATTCTATGTGAAGCACTTCACATACAAAATGTGTATCGGTACTCAAATAAAAAATTCATCATGTCGCTAAGTGGTCGTCCAAAGTTAGTACCTAACATTCATTACAACATTCGACAGTTATCATCGCTAATAATCGTTCACGCAATTTGAAACGACGACACAAGACCGATTCGATTAAAAGTTTTTTAATTATAGTCAGGAGTGTGAACGGGTTCGAACACAAGAGCCAAAGAGTTCATTTCTATATTTCGTGACTCTGAGATTGAAACTCGCTTCTGGATTTCGAGAAAATAATCGGCAACACTGATGTTCGATCAAAAGAACAAAGTATTTTTTTTATTTTTTCATCACTCGTAGTATTGACGCAATTGTACGTAATCACAAAGAATGCCGCGCTCCAAACAATGCATCCAAGGTTCGACAGTGCGATAAGATAAGGTTTCAAGATTCGGCAAGTGAGATAATATTGCGGATACCGCCACGTGAGTTTGAAGAAAACAGGATACGTGAACATTCACGCGATGTAAGTTCAACGAGCGCCAAAGTCTCGACTAAATCCAAATTTCGTTATAACGTCTATACGGTATTTATCCACCGCAACATCAAAATTCCAATGGCTTCACAACACAATTGCATTTTAGTACAACTCACCCACAAAAGACAGAGAAATATTTTATAAACTTAATATGCCGACGTTCTGTGTCGTTTCCAGTGACATCAAGTCAGAGAATTCGTAAATTTTATTTATTTGAACCTCCATGAACCTCCGCATTCTGGCGCCAAAAACGGACGAACGCCCTCGCAGCCAAACGAGTAATTCTTCAGCGAACACCTCGGCGATGAAACGAAAATTGAAAACGAGCGAGGCTTTTCTTGATTTTTATTGGGAAATGTGTCCATTCAGCTAACGAATCTCTGAGCTGAAACTTCACACTGACTAGATATCGCACGGTTGACCTGGCACAGCTTCAAACGGGACTCGAGAAACTCGGAAAAAAGTGAACTCCACACTGATTTTGAGACTCGCGGAACCAGACAATGATCTAAAAAATATGTGTGCACAGAAGATCGACAATTTGATCATCAAATGAAATTTTTGAGTGAATTTTGTTAGTAACTTCGAAATTCTGCCAGGCCAACATGGAGAATTATTTTTTATTATTAAATTGGAGTCGTTTATGATAATACTGTAAATTTTCACATGTTATATTCTGATGCAAAATGCTCTATACAAATATAACAACACATATAAATATAATATATTGTCTCGTGCATGAAATTTCAAAGATGGCGCGCCCTAAAATGAATAAAACTAATAACTTGAATTTTATAACTTGCGTTTATAATAGCTAGTTAAATAAATTATTGCTCATATTATGAACTTGTGTGATTTTATCATAATATTTCTACACTTTCTTTTGCTTAACCAAACCAGTTCTGAAAATTATAGTCACAAATATCAACCAATAAGAATAGACAGATGTGACAATAAACTCTGCAAAGGCAGAAATCGTTGAGTTTGGTCAGGAATCCTGCTCTGAGCCATCACACGTTGGTGTCGGTTTGACGGCGGAGCTAGGCTACTGCGAGAACTTAGTTACTTAGACTTGCAGCGACGCGGCGTAGAAATGGCCTAACAAAAAACACTCAGTCGATTTTCATAGCTCAAGAATACGATTTTAGATTAATTAACTCCCAAATTCAAAATGAAAACGACTCGATGATTTACACTTCGAATATTATATTATTTAAATATTTGAAACAACCTCAAACACAACGAAAGTCCAACTCCATTTTCACAGTAGGACAGAAATTTTTCATAGGTGTGGCTCACGTTAAAAAATTTATAATTAGACTAAAACTGGATTAAAATCAAGCTTCACGCAACTATTTTTGACGCAGGATACATCGAAATGAGTCACAACACGATACTAACACCGGCGAGGGTAGCACTGTATTTCTCTCAACCTGATGGAACGTAAAAAGTTCAACAGTTTGAAAACAACTTTTTTTAATAATCTCTTTGGTATTATTGCAGATTAACTACATCCAAAAAAAGGGTGTTTTTTTTAATTATATGTTTTTTGGGGTGTAGATTACGAATCTGAAATCCATTTTTGGCGGTCGGCATCGGAAAACCGATTTTTTTCGCGACTTACTAACATGGGGGTTACGTAACTTACGTTACCCACTCACCTTTATATAAAGGGTCGGATTGTTCATCGAAATTTTACAAAAAGCTCTTAGGTTGGGTTAAGTCAGCCAAGTTCCTTTTTTTAGATAGCATTTTGATCTAAAAGGAACCTGGGCGAACCAACCCAACCTGCGAGTTGGCGTTAGGTTGTGATCTCTCGATGTGGCAATGTATCTCCAGATTTATGGACAAAGAAGACGAAAATGTTACCCGTTGCACTGCAACGGGTAACATTTTCGTCCGATTTTTCGCCGATTTCGCAGATTTTAGGCATTTTTAGCGCGATTTTTGGGTCGGAAAAAAATCGGTTTTCCGATGCCGACCGCCAAAAATGGATTTCAGATTCGTAATCTACACCCCAAAAAACATATAATTAAAAAATAAAACACCCTTTTTTTTGGATGTAGTTAATCTGCAATAATACCATCTCTTTTTTTAAGAAATGTAATTTTTTATCATGCGTAGCAACAGCGGCCAGCGGTATCGCCAACTCTTGACTTGTGACAGTAAGTAGGTATAGGAATAAGAATTTACTACAATATTTCGTGGGCCAGAAAAAACGTTTTCAAAATTATTCCCTGTCAAACGAAAATTTATTAGTTCACGAGCAAAACTTACACAGAAAAGAAAATTCCGGAACATTATTTGTTACAAGAAACCGTAGTAGAAATACATTAATAACAACAAATAACACGTGAAGCTTGGCTTACCTGTGTAGCATCGCTGTAGGGTGTGCGAGAGTTAGCTTGCACAAGCTGAGATCCAAACACAACCTCAGGCGAGCCGTTAACACTAGTAGTGGGGCTTAGAGGAAGCATTATTTGTAATTTTCCAAGTCAGTTTTCGATTAATTTTGATCAGTTAGACAAGTTCTCAACCTTTGAGTTAGTCCTGCAGGGAAATAATTAGATAACAGCACAGTCAGTTCACTAACGGTTTTAAACGAGCTCTCACTCAGTCAGTCAGTCCTTGCGACGCAAATTTTTAGTCCTCGAACGTTTGTATTTTTCGTCCTTTGCAATCGAAACTTGAATAACCAACTTTTAATTCATTTCGATCAGTCCATCCAAAGCACGTGATGAATACATGCAAGCTCATCAATGTTCTTTCCAAACAAATCGTCTCGATGACCTCCAGGCAGGGTTTTCAACACCCTCTTCCCGAACGGCGATCGCCTCGTCTCAAAGCAGGAGCTCTACCAGAGTTGTCACACCTCAACGCACTCTTCCACTCAACTAGCTAGCATGGCTATGAGCATCCTGTATTTATACCTCCGCACGAGCTGGCAACTCTTGTATCCAAACATTGATCAATTTACCGAAATTTTAGGCACATCACTGCAATATATCGCTACGTAACCATATGTATGCCGAGATAATATACGTCTCGAAAATTCAATAGATTTATTTTTTCATTTGTCAGCCTTAATCAACGTATTTTTTTCTTCGACTTCCTGTGTTTATTCACTACTTGGCATCTATCGGAGGACTTTTTTCGTCTTTCCATTGCGTATCTATTTCTTGTAGAAATTTCTCATATAGACACTTCTTTTTGAAATCTTGGCGCTTGGATTGCGAATTTTCATAGATTTTAATGAAGTATAATATCTGTGCAAGATTGCATGATCAGATGAAGGAAATAATGAAACTACCACGTTTAGTTTATAACGAAGAATTAAAAACCGCACTGGAACACTTGATAAATTTCGTGACCGATAACCGCATTTTTGAAACTATTTATTAATCTCACACTATAGCAAATAATTCTTGCAGATAAGATATAATTCTGTAAAACCATTGTAAGACTTCGTGTTTTCAGCTTAAAGTACCCGGTTTAAAGGGCAACATTTAAATGCCTTAGCACATGTGTGAGAGCCGCAGAACCGCGCGTTCAATCAGCGGCAGCCTGTCGTATACGGAGCCGGTGCCTAATGACTCATTCCTAATATGCTGTGAGTCACAATAATAAGTTGGACTAGACGATATTTGCAATTAAAATTTTGATCCGTCGTTCTTTCAGAAGTATGTTTGTCAATTCCTATTGTTCCTTACTCATAATTTCTATTTTATCTTATTAAAAAATAACTACATTTATTAATGAAGACTTGCTTTGTTGCATTTCATTAGCGCATTGGTTGACCAGGAAAGTTCATATCGAGTGTTGGCGCGTTATTGACCACACTAAGATAGCTCGAGTTTATTTTTCAGCAACCGGCCTTGATTATGTATTAAATACACGACTTCAACGCAGAATATATCAGCTTAGTTTTATAGTTCATACGTATATAAAAGTTTAAAATTCGCAAGTAGCGTGCCATATTAAAAAACAACTTAAGTGATACATTAAAAATGTTTCTCTGATAGCCACTGATTACTTGATATCTTTCTCCAAAAGTAAATAATTAGAAAATTGTTATCTGCCGAACCTGTAATTTATTGATATAGTTATATCAATTCGAACTCGTTAAGAAATCGAGAAGCCCATTCTAGCCGGAGTTGCCAGAACATATACTACGATTTCTTCAGTTTACTTTTAAACTATACGTAAAAGCATATTATTATATGTATTTTTATTGCGGCTATAATGGCAACCGTTCCACTAATGGCAATGAAATGGTTGTGAAATGCTGTTGCTGCGCGGAATTCATAAAGGTATTTTGCATGAAATATTTTTTATTAAACTTGTCAAACTGAACAGCATTGGTTTTTTCCTTCTATTTTTCGTATCCTAAAACTTTAGCCCGATAAAATATTAGTACTTGACTGGATCAGTTGAAGATAACTTCGAAAAACTTCATTTATTTTCAGCCATTCCTGATATTGTAATGAAATTTTGCCTGCACGGTTCCGCTGTCTTGCCAATATACGAGTTATTTTGAGTGTTAACTTGAAATTTGAGTGTTCGCTTGCTATTTGAGTGTTCGCTTGCAATTTGAGTGTTCGCATGCAATTTGAGTGTTCGCTTGCAATTTGAGTGTTCGCTTGCAATTTGAGTGTTCGCTTGCAATTTGAGTGTTCGCTTGTAATTTGAGTGTTCGCTTGCAATTTGAGTGTTCGCTTGTAATTTGAGTGTTCGCTTGTAATTTGAGTGTTCGCTTGCAATATGAGTGTTCGTCTGCTATTTGAGTGTTCGCTTGTAATTTGAGTGTTCACTTGCAATTTGAGTGTTAGCTTGCAATTTGAGTGTTCACTTGCAATTTGAGTGTTCGCTTGCAATTTGAGTGTTCTTGCAATTTGAGTGTTAGCTTGCAATTTGAGTGTTCGCCTACAATTTGAGTGTTCGCTTGCAATTTGAGTGTTCGCCTGCAATTTGAGTTTTCTGTAAATATTCATCCTCGTGTATACTAAAACCTGAATAAAACAGAGGGCGCGTAGTCAGGAAGGCAATCTGCTTCTCGCATGAACTAGTCATGACGCTAACCGAATTCCGCGGTCTAATTAGACGTATTGATTATCTTTAGGTATACGTAGATACCACTTGTATGAGAGTCTTATTAATTTCGAAAACTTACGGGAACTAATTGCTCTCTTGTCATGTTTTGATTTCAAGAGAATTATTTGGTACTTCCATATATGCAAGGCTGAAAAAGAAACAAAATGGGTTAAAAACAAAGTAATTTGCAATGACAACTCCAAGGATGTGTCTCTAATGAAGGGTAGTAGGCGTCCGCTCTGCCTGTCAGTACTTTTTATTTTCATTATTGTTATCATTATTATTATTATGTTTGTTTTCACTATTGTTATCATTATTGTTATAATGTTGTACATGCTACACATTAATTGTGCTTCACAGGCAATAGGGACCATGAGTGATGTTCTTGGAATGATATCAACAAACTTTGTGGTACACCATGTTGACTTGCAGTCCTCTCACTCTAGCAGCGACTTTTTTATCGTATTCATTCCATATTCAGTATAAAAGTTTCTGCTAAGATGAAATAATAAATGCTATTAAATTGAATGCACGAGCATGACCAATTTTTTATCACAAGGCAGTTTGCAAATTACGTTACTAACAAAGTCTATTAAACAAGTGGAACAAAGATTCAATATTATTGATAATCTTAAATAGGCACGTGTAGTATTTGCGAGACACGTGTTTTTAACGTGTAGATACACGTGTTTTTAACGTAATTACAGGGTGTTGGAGTTGGTGATCACGTGTGCTGTTCAGCGCAGTTCGCGGTGGCATATTTGCAGTTCATTGATCTGACCCTCAGTAACATCGAGCTCCCTTTGACTTATGGAGCTAATGAGACGATAGTAACGTACGTTGGGGATAGTGGTACTTGGCATACCACCTCGTAGTTGAAGTTATTAATAATTGCCAGGTTTTGCCACAAAAACGCATTGAGAGCTTGCCTCTGTAGCACCAAGTTTGACGCACCGGATGCCAGATTATCATACAGAATTGGCTTGTGAAATGATAGTGAAAACACAAAGCCAAATACTTTAGCGCAGTCAAAATATAGTTAAATTGATATAATGCATTACATGAAGAACCAATCGATTGCAGGAATAATGGGAGAGAGCAGCGAGTGTTCACTGTCCATTACGGAGGAATACGGTCTCATGGTGTGGGCTCAAATTTTTTTAAATTGTTCAATGTATACCATCTGAATTTTTACAGTTACCATACATATTTCTATTCGAATTCATTAAAAACGGCACTGAAATTAATTTTTTTTAATTTTAAACTAATATTGTCAAAATTAAGTAAAATGAAGTTCGATTCCAAAATTATATTACAGGATCGTTCGGCCAGCGACAAGCATTGCTAAATCGTTAGTTTAAGCTACGAAGTACTAGTCCACAGAGAAATAAGGTATTATAGTGTCTATAATAAGTTAAATAAGGTTTATACAAATAAGGTATTTGAATCCTGTCTCGCGCACACGGATTACAAACTAGAAAAGATAAAAATTAAACGTTCATACCAAATTTGTGGTTGAATTGTTTCATTTACATTTTTTCATGAGGTTTAACTATGTAAAATCATTAAATACGTTTGTGCAAGCGATGATCAAAAGTAATGTACAAGTATATGAGATTTCATCTGCATAATAATAATAATAAGGCTTATTACTATATAATGCACGAAATTTTTGAGGGTCATACTTCTAATAACACAATTCGACAGAATATTGATAAAATAATCATAAATATAATGCTTTTATATTAAAATTTGCAACTTTCCAGACTAAACAACTAAAGATTACCTGCTTCCCTTCAGTTCGGAAAAATGAGATACTTTTTAACATTAGGGAACTTGGTGAACTTTTTATAAAAATCTAGTACTTGTAGGGAACTACCCCAGACAGGAGTCATGTATGTAAATTTATGTAAGAGGATTACAAAAAGAAAAAATAAAAAATAGATAAAATTTGTTTAAACTTCAGTGTACGCGGGATAATATTCTCGAACAAAATGCGACAACAACCTGTATGACCCAAGTATATATCCCCGCGAGTTTTCCGTAGCACAATATAGGGTGTGATGAGTAAGGTGTGTGTAAGATGTGTGTAGTGTGTGTAGGATGTGAAGAGAGTATGTGTAGAGTGTGAGTAAGGTGTGTGTAAGATGTGTGTAGTGTGTATAGGATGTGAAGAGAGTATGTGTAGAGTGTGAGTAAGGTGTGTGTAAGATGTGTGTAGTGTGTGTAGGATGTGAAGAGAGTATGTGTAGAGTGTGAGTAAGGTGTGTGTAAGATGTGTGTAGTGTGTATAGGATGTGAAGAGAGTATGTGTAGAGTGTGAGTAAGGTGTGTGTAAGATGTGTGTAGTGTGTGTAGGATGTGAAGAGAGTATGTGTAGAGTGTGAGTAAGGTGTGTGTAAGATGTGTGTAGTGTGTGTAGGATGTGAAGAGAGTATGTGTAGAGTGTGAGTAAGGTATGTGTAAGGTGTGTGTAGAGTGTGTAGGATGTGAAGAGAGTATGTGTAGGGTGCGAGTTAGGTGTGTGTAAGATGTGTGTAATGTGTGTAGGATGTGAGGAGAGTATGTGTAGGGTGTGAGTAAGGTGTGTGTAAGATATGTGTAGTGTGTGTAGGTATGAAGAGAGTGTGTGTAGGGTGTGAGTAAGGTGTGTGTAAGGTGTGTGTAGTGTGTGTAGGATGTGAAGAGAGTATGTATAGGGTGTGAGTAAGGTGTGTGTGTGTGTGAAGGGCATGAAGAGGGTGTGTGTAGGGTGTGAGTAAGGTGCCTGTAAGATGTGTGTAGGATGTGAAG